GGTTACCCCCGAGTTGCTGGGGGGGGCGTTCAACGCCCCCACTTTTTTCGCTGGACCATAGCAAAAAAAAAAAAAAAAACGGCGCGCCGCAGGCGCGCCAAATTTTGGGTACCTGTAGGGAATTGATTGACGTTTATTGTGACAAAATTTCAAAAAAATCGTCTGGAAAATTTTTGAGATATCGAGGTTTCAGTGACGTCATGATTTCTTGGTTTTCGACCAAAAACTTTATGGGTGGAGACTTCCACTGGCGTCCAACTGTCGTCTAACTGAGCAGACGTCCAAGTTGGCGTCTAACTTGGCGTCTAACTGTTGGACGGAGACTTCCAAGCCAGACGCGTCTAAATTTAGCTGTCGCCAGATAGACACAGCCGCCGTTCAGCTAGACGCGTCTATGACTTAGACGCGTCTAGCTAGACGCGAAATGGAAGTCTCCACCCTATGTGTTCAAAAAATCATAAAAAATCACAGAATAGACATACAGACATGCCGCCATTAGACTGATAATACCATGAACAATCAAATGGCTATCTTCGATTATTGATTATCGTTCCTCATTTTCCAAAATCTTGAACTGAATCTTGGCAATTTCTCATGACTACTTCACGACCATGATACATGCATTTCTTAAATTGAACTTTTTGAGCCAAACACGTACACATATGATAAAATGAATGTCACCATCGTGTTCTACGCCGCAAATTACCCATAAAACATGTGTCACAGGCTGCGAATATCAGTTTTGATTTTCGGGGATATGTGCCTACCCGGTTGACCTGACCTTGACCCTGACCTATGCTTGACTGACCCCTACATGGAGCTGTCACTCTTGTAGGCCTTATACGATGGATTGTGCACCGTTTTGACAGAGTTTATGACGAGAGGCGCCCATTGTGAAGTCCCGAAGTCCATGCTACTGAAAGTCTGATCTCAGGTGTTTGACGTGACCTTGACCCGACCTCTGACCTCAAAATTCAACTTAAAAGTACTCATCTGAAGCGTCTCGTCGCGTTCTTTCGTTTGCCGCCTCGTTCGTTTCGCTGCGCATATTGGTTCTCGAGTTATCGGCTGAGGGCGTTTAACGCCCCCCCCCCCCCCCCAGCAAACGGTGGGTGGCGAAATACCCCAGCAACTGCCGGGTTAAGGACCTGCATCGGCTCTGAGGGCTCAACTTGGCCTTTTCTGGACTCTGGGGTCCAACACCAGCCCAAGCCTGTCTTTTAGGGTGGATGGGACCCTGAGGGTCCCATCCTTGCCTCAAGGACCCGCATTAGCCTTTGAGAGCCTCAAAGGCTAAAGCCGGCCTCTGATGGCCTCAAACTGCCATTTTCAGGCCCTGTACTGGTCTCTGAGGGCCTTAAACTGGCCTCTGAGGGCACAAACCGACCTTTAAAGGTCCCACACCGGTTTCTGATGGCCCATTTTCTGCCTCTGAGATCCAAGACTGACCCTTTTGTGCCTCTGAGGGCCCCGTACTGGCTTCTGAAGGATCGATGCCGGTCTCTGAGGACCAATGTCAGTCTTATAAGGGCCTCACACTGACATTTGAGGCCCACATTAACCTCTGATGGCTCCAAATTGAGGCCCTATTTAGTCCCCAATCAGCCTATAAGGTCTCTGATGGCCCTATTTTGTTGTGTGGCTGGGGACCCATGGCTTACACCCTTAGGCGTCACGCACTGGCCTCTGAGAGCCCACATCGGCCTCTGGGGTTCCATACGGGCCTTTGAGGCCGCTATGGCCATGGGCCCCTTAAGCTAGCACCGCCCCCCCCCCTCCGAGAGTTGGCAAAGTTGCCAAGTTGCCCCCACCCCCAAACGCCAAGTCTGCTACCGCCCCTGCATTCAGATGCATCCATTGTAAAAAAAAAAATAACCTGCACTGCAGTGATTGGGGGCTGGGGCACTGGCTGCTAGCAAGTTTTTTTTTTCCGGGAAACGGAAGTGGTAGTTCCTACCGGACGTCTGACCGGACCTTTATTTTTGCATTTGCTTCTGGGTGGGCAAATCGACGCCACTGGGTGGGCAATTGTGGTGACTGGGTAGGCATTTGCCCACCCAGTGGGTATGTTAGAGGAGGCCTTGGGTGAAAACCCAGAAAGGAGGGCGACCATGTAGGACAGGTATCAGATGCCATTTAATTGCTGTTTTGTGTTTTTCTTGCTATAAAACAGGAATAATCAACACGTGGCAATTAAATACACCTACATAATTATCGCCCCAGGAAAAGCTTACACAGCTCCGTAAAAACAACCCTCCATTACCATTTTACAAAATACCTAGAGGGGGTATGTGAGCTTTTCTTCGCCCCTGACGGTCGTGTCCGGCTTTTTACCCACATCAGCCTGCAGACCGGGGTGTCAGAAAATGCCGGTTCAGGACCAAGTCCACCAGCCTCCCGAGCTCTAAGGTCTGACGGCCATCTGTCCGTCTGGCTGCCCGCCACTGACAGCGGGGGCGGGGGCGGGGGCGGCACCTGGAGAGGCGGCCGTTCACAGTTTACCGCCGTGCCCGCCGCCATCGCCATCCGCCGGTACCGCTGGCAGCCCAGCGCACCATAAACCGGGGGCGCTGCTCAGAGCCGGTCGGGTCGGCTCCGGCCCGCCGCAGACCGCAGACGAGTCGTTTGATGTGGTGAGGAGAGTTTGGTAGGAGCCAGGAGGGATCTTCTAACCAGACAAGTGCGTGGATCCGAGAAAATGAATCTGGGATTTGATCCCACGGATCCGTCGGGATTATAGATCCAGTTCTTCAATTTATCGAGGGATTCGTATGAATCGTAGATCCGAGTCTTATTTTTTGCTTGAGATTCGGTTAAATCATTGATACTCATTTACTTTTTGTCAGCTTAGAAATCCCAGAAAATCACTCGTTGCAACTCACAAACGTTCTGTTTTAGAGATTTTATGTGTTTGCACGTCATAATCCATAGTCTTGTGGCACTCATTGACATAGAAACACTTGAAAACCTGGTTTCAATTTTTTGCATGGTGGGATCCACTCAGATCATAGATCCATGTTCTTGGTTTGTCGTCAGATCCAATGAGATCATAAATCCAGATTCAATTATTTTTAATTCACTTACATTAGTAGGGTAAATGTGGGGAAGACGCACCCCTGGGTTAAACGCCTCCCCTAAAAAAATCGTATTTCTTATCGACGGATAGGTGTTTTATCCTCTTTTTCAGAACAGTCAGCTGCTTGTTTACGTAGGTCTCTATTTCCGGTTCTGCGTCTTGAGGAGCATTGTGGGTAGGTGCTGATGTTGGTTTTGGGTGTTGTTTTTGTTGTTTTTACAGAAGATTCCTAATATTTTGATGCCCTCTTTATATCACAAAACTTATTATTGTGCACATCACTCAAAACTGCGTTTTATTGTCATTCTGTTGAATTTATTATGCTGGGGCGTTAGTGGCGCGTTTTTTGTCAATATTTTGTTGACCGGAAATGGAGTGGATGGGGAAAGACGCCTACTCGATGCATGGGGCAAGACGCCCCCAGTTTTCTGAAAGGGGGGCGTTTTGCACGGTGGTAAGAGTGCAGGGTAGCGCCCTGTAGGTCGGGGCCGAAAAGGCCTCTCCCTGTCCTTTTTTGCTGATATATCCTAAACGACTGTAGATATCGTCACCAAACTTTCAGGACTTCTCCGGGTATCCATTTTACACATTGTAACAAAATTTTATTCCAAAGGCTATGATAGGCTGACCACAAATGACGTCAGAATGACGTCAAGTTCTGCCGTGTTCATCATGTTCTGTTGATTGATATGGTGGGGGCGCTTTGCACATGGGTGTGGGCGTATTACCCAGGGTGTGGGGCAAAACGCCCTTTTGTAAGGGTATGCGAAAAACTTTTTGGGGGGTTAAATACCACACGCAGGTGTCTTTTCTTGGTCTCAAAACGTAGTAAAAAGAATGAGCTACATGATGGTGCCCAAAGATTTGAGTAATCTGTGTTGGGTTGAGTGTCAGCAGGTTTCGCGCTTAAGGGGGGCGTTTTTGACCTATTCACCCTAGAATTTCAATTTTTATTGCTTCATTCGACCCAAGCCAAAGCCATACAAAAACTGGATAGGATGGACTTACTCTTTTAAAACGTTAACTGAGCGTTGATACCGTTATATTTTGCAAAATCGATACCATATCTCGTAACGTTCCCCAATTCAGATCAATTTAAACGTTTTCAGATTCACAACGCTTTGGATCGGTGTGTTCCGGTGCTGGAGGAGCCTATAAGTGCTAAAACGAGTAATGAGGTCGGGAGACACGGTGGGGTGTCCGGTTCCGGTCCGTGTTTAACTAGCAGCGTGATCTGACCTGGCGTGATATGTAGGCCTCCAGAGCCCAGACGTCGACCAGTGTATTTCAGCAGCGTCTCGGTACACAAAGATATCGTGCAAGGGTTACCTTCCAGTCTGAGCTTCTCGCCAATAGATTGCGCGAATCCGTGAATAATTGATGAAAACAAGATGAATGTGCACGTTTCTGTTCGTAAGTAATCCTCTTAAGAAACTGCATTTACTACGACAGCAGGTTATCTAGCAATAATCTGAAAATGAGCCCCTTGCGTGCATAAAGGACGAGGAACAGTAATAGAAGACCTACTTAGACTTACGGGCTTTACACCCTGAGGCCATTTCGCCTATCGTATCATGCAGATTGGAATGTTCCCGTGGTCTTGAGGGTAAATGAAGGTCCATGTTCCGTATCGATAAGAGGGTAAGAGTACATTGCAATAACGATCGGAGATCATTTTCGAAAAGTGCTCTAGTGACTTGTGTCCGGTTGGTAATTTTGATCTACCTACCTTTTTTGTAGGAAGGCACCTTTTCAGTACTTTTAGACAGGCTGACATTGGAAGGCGGAGGTTCAACGTTTGAATAAAACAGCTGGTGTAATGAGCGATTATGAATAACACGATGTCACTGTCGAGTGTCGAAGCTGAACAACAAACGGATGTCCTAACGATGGGGAGCCATAAATATAGGTTTTAGGTACTGACCTGAACGTTCTCCATATGTCGAAGCTCATCGTATTCAGCCAGAAGCAGACCGCCAAGAACGAGTAGTACATGATAATTGCTGTAAGAAAAGGTGAATACGGATTACAAACGTTACCATCGAGTCTTAGAGACATCCCTCTAAACAAGATTGATTGGTTGAGAGAGTTTCACTTGCAAGTAGCTCTATGCTATAACACGTCTTGCTAAATTACTTTGCGACCAGACAGGTAGTTTTATGAATTTATCCTTGACAGGATACCAAACAATTCAATATTATTTAGCCTGTCCCATATCCTGTCCCATGTCCATCTCACGGGCCTATCTATGCTTCGACCCTTCCTAACTAATAGGTGCCCTGTGATTAGTTCCCTTCCGTCCTGACCGGTGACCCGACCTGTCCCGCTCACCTATGGCCTGGCAGAAGGGCAAACTCCGGTAGACGAACGCCGTCTGTGAGGCGATGCGGCAGACGTAGGCTGTGAACAGCGCAGCGACGTGCGACATCAGGCAGCGGCCGTGCACGTTTCGCAGCTCCGGGATGGCGGCGTAAATGGCGAACGTGACGAGCAGCAGCGCAGCGGAGACGATCAGCAGCGCCTCCATGACGTAGTGGCGCGGCGCCACGGCCGGCGGACTGCCGCCGAAGCACAGGATCGCGAACGCGTGGAACTGCTCAGAGCCGTTCAGTGAGTAGAGCATCTGGTCGACGCAGAAGTGTGGCAGGTTGGTCATCTTCTGCTGGCCGGGAACCCAGAGCGAGCCGTTGGTCTGCAGGTAGAACCGGTCAAGGTCGCGGAACACAGGCTGTAGCGGAAACACGCGTCCGTACTGACCGTCCTCCGAGGGCGGGCACCTGGCGTTACCCCAGATAGTGCGGTAGCTCCCGCTGCCCGCCGGGTGGGTGAGGGACCTGTAGAAGCCGGGCCGCCAGGTATTGTTAGCAGGCAGCGGCAGACATCGCTGGTACCGGTCCATGTACAGGCCGCGCGGGCAGCACTTGCGGAAGCAGGTCTCGCGCCGACAGGTGGGCTCCAGTAGAGTCTCGTCCACCAGCGAGCTCAGCTGGTGCATACTGACGTTACAGACGATGGCACCGTCGATAGCGACCCCCTCAGCGTCCGTCAGGTTGTGCGGCTCGATCAGCCGGCCGGCGCAGAACTGCTGGGCCGGCTGGAGGACGTCCACCTCCGACCGGTACAGCTCCCCGGTGGTCAGCAGCTCGAACCGCTGCTCGGGCCGCCCGCCGTCCAGCCAGAACGAACCCTCGGTGCAGGTGAGGTTACCCGTCTGCAGCACGGTTAGCCGCGAGTCTGGAGGCCCGCGGCTCCCCGCCCTGGCGTTCAGTAGCTGCGGCCGCCAGCGGAGCGCGTCACCCACCGGCTGACAGGAGGGCAGCTCCGCCGGATCGGACGGCCGGACCAGTGCCTCATCTTCAGGACAGCAGCGCAGGATTCGGGCGGCCTGCTGCCTCCAGCGCGGCTCCGGCAGGTCATCGGCCAGAGGCCGGCGGCCCGAGACTACCAAAGGAGCGGCGGCCAGCGCGACCAGAAACAACAGGCCGGCTCGCCACATGTGATGCTGATGGGTCATGGGGCTCTGGCGTTCACTCAGGTCGGGGCACAGGACAGGAGTTCGCCTAGGTCTTCCAAGTAACATCAGAATAAGCTACCCACATGTCCTGAACTGACTTGACCGACCACCGCTCATCATTCGTCCAACGATGCGTGCTCCAACACCACACAAAGCCGACGACTCCGAGGGATTATAGATAAAAGCACAGGTTCTCGATTTCACCACCCCCCACACTCCGATTTAGAGATCACTGCAGGCGCCTGCACCGCCCCACGCCGTCCTCCGGACGCACAGCTTCGCGCCCACCATCCTCACTGCAGCGGGGCCGAGCGCCGTCTGCCGGAGCTCGCCATGGAGCCCCGGTCCAGTGCGAGGGTCGCCCCCCGGACCCCAGCGCACCGCTCCGCCATCTGACGGTAGCGACGGCAAACAGCTGAGGTAGCGTAGCGACGGTGGGCGCGTCGGCGCACGACGCACGCTTGAACGCCCCCCCCCCCCTCCCTGCAGCGTCGGATTGGAAGGCGAAGGGCAGCCGTGCGAAGGGAGGACACAAAAAACGGTACCAGGGGAGTCTGATAAAAAGCGCTGGGGAGTTCGTGCTGCCTTGTGTGATCAGAGGAGACGCACCACAAATGTCCCTGTTTCAAAAGGTGTAAATGGCTGGAGCCGTGGGCCCTGTGATATTCTCGGGGCAAAAAAGATATAGTCGAGCAACAGTTTCTTGGTCTGTCGTCTTACCTGAGCTGAGCTTATCAGTTATCACGGACAGTCAAAGCATTTTAAAGTAACAATTTGAATGCTTATTTCAGTTGTCATTTGTAATAGATTCATAAGTTTTGTCCGTAGTTTCTTAAAGATTTTTTTTCATACAATTTCATTGATGCCCAACGATAATCGCTGAAGGTTAACTGACAACTAGTTACTGACATGGCAAGCATCTTTCGTCTCATCACATAATGATAGCGTGTTTCGTTTACGCTCGTATTTTTATTCGCTTCATCGCTGAGTTTAAACGATATGCGATGTACGTTACGCGGGATAAATACACAATCAGCCGCTTTATGGCTCCACGGCTAGGCCCCTCCGGCCCCTGCACCTGTGATGTACCGCAAGCGATGATGCAAACTTCTGTCGCTAGATGGCACCACTGACTGGCGCCTGTAGTTATGCTGTGCAGGGGCGGATCCAGAAAATCTCCAAGGGAGGGGCCATTAGAAACCAGGAGGCCCCCCCCCATAATCCCACCTGTTGGAGGCCCCATCTTCCCACTTGTTGGCCCCCCCCCCCAAAAAAAAACTGCGTCTATTGAGCTTATCTAGCTGTTCAGGCAACATCTCAACATCTGTGCAGGCTTGGAGGCCCTCTGTGCAGGTTAGGAGGCCCTGTAAAAGTGGTCATCTCTGTGAGTATAAGAGACCTCCAAATTATGAAAAGCTTTACCAATCTTCTAACAAAGAAGTCTTCTCAGCTAGTCTTCTAAGAAATAACTAAGTGGGTAGGTTAAAAAAAAAACTCATCGGATTTCGGCCACTTTATTTTCAGGAGGCCCCCTTTTCAGCTTTTTAACTTTTTAACTTTTTATTTTATTTTTGAAAAAAAAATCGGCCAAGGGGGGGGGCCATGGCCCCCATGGCCCCCCCTTGTATCCGCGCCTGATGCTGTGCCGCATGGCCTCATGCGTGTCCCCGAGTAGTGATGACATGACGAGCATACGGCAGAAGTTGTCCCACGGCTTAGCTAACAGTTAGGGTCATGTGCATCGAGCATTGTATGCTTTATAAAAAAGCGGAAAGATGCTTAGGTAAGTGAAGCTCGGCTTTCGGATCTACGCTCGCCATTCGTCACAAAAGGTCCGTTTTGCAAAACAAGGAATGCATCATTTATTACGACAAACCACCTTTTACATGATCTCATGTCACAACCCCACGACGTCCCAGCACCCTCAAAAAGCTGCTGGCACCTGTCTCCCGCTCATCCCTGCACCAAACTAGCCAACATAATATAAACAAACATCCATAACAAAATAGCATTTGCCTTACAGCTGGCCTCAGCATAGTCCGTACCGGACTGGACACCGGCCCGATACCCTCCACGCACCGGTCTTTCAGACAGTATTTGTCCCTATCCTGGTCCAGTGGCGCTGATAGCCAGCCCGAACGGTGGACGGAAGCAGTGTGCCCAGCGGCCCGAGGGTCATACCGCGACACCCCCGGCCCAGATCACTGATGACACGTGCCGGGCGGTAGCGGTACAGGCCGGGACAGGAGCGTGAGCAGAGCCGTGTCGAAACGCAACAATGATGACGTGGTACGAGTGCGCCGCTACGACTTGACAAACTTGAATCCCTTCTTCGCCAGGTCCTCCTTGGCTTCCTTGATTTGCTGCAACGAAGGAGATTCGATTCATAGCGTCATGTCCATACAGTAAAGAAAAAATGTGTGACCATCGCCGGGCTCAAAAGCCATGATTTTTTACCGCGAGCATAGTGTTCTCGTTGCCGTCACCATTTGAATTTGGCAGCTACGAAGTCACCTTTATAATAATCTTTTATAACAGGATGTTCACATCCCTGTTCAATGAACCCGTTTCCCGATTCTCCCACCCGTTTATCGAAATTCGAGATTCGTGTTCCTTGTATCGTCGGTAAAAGAACAAACATGTTACACGCCTTAAATCAACAATCACGCCGATCTATTCAACTAAATAATGCAATTTTGAAACAACAGGGAACTGTGAAACGCTTTCTCCTTCTAGTAGTGGGTTTGAGAGGCCACTGAAAAGTTCGGTAAGATTTACGCGTAAATCCATCGACAAAATCAGTGGTGTTCGTCGGTTCGATAAAATCGGCTGGATTATCGGTGCCAAAACGAGCTCGTTATGTAACCGCAGTTTTGTCGACTACCGTCATTCATACCAAAATTAGTGACATGACGCAAATGATAAAAAACGTCTCGCACTCTCAACGAGTGACTGACAGAGAGTCAATAAGTAAACGAGAGCGATAGAGTAATTGAGATCCAGTAAAAGTGTGAGTGAGCGGGTGAGCTGTGACAGTTAGGAATGAGTAAGGGTGAGTGAGGTTTGCGAGCCCTTCTGCTTGTAGCTCAGTGAAAGGCGCCGCTTATTTAAACCTGCTTTTATGAAGCTGGTCGACATCAGATGATTTACATATGTAAGATGCAAAACATGATTTAGTAGGTGCCTGAAGGCTAACTTACCAATGTATAAAAAGTACTAGGCCAGGTAGGTCTAGGAAATAAAGACGCAAAACCAATTTGTGGTGATGTATTGAATGCATATCTATGCGTCAACAAGCATGCAAAATGTACCTTATTGCATAACATCTCACATCTATTATACATCAAACTTTTTGCAGTTCTTATATAATGTCACTGCAAATCTGATATAATCATGCTTTCTAAGCTAACTATCACGCATGAAGTACAGCCACGTGCCTGATCAATGATCATTCAACTGAGCGGGTGTGCGGACGGGGCCTAGCCCGAGGTCTCCGCAGCGGCAGACCGACTAAGGCAGTTACTGTCCGATACAAGGACACGGTAATGACTAGGTGCAATATGATTTGTCTGCTATGCCGGACAATGTGATGAGAAGCATATACTACGTGGACTGTCTATGGTAAACTATGGTGAACAGTCTTCGGTTGCCACATAAAAGGCACATAGTTATTTTAATGAAATAACATCGATAATGTGAGAGAAAAAAAAACTAAAGACAAAGGTTTCATTAAAACCGATAATCAAATGTTTAAAGTCGCGAAATGTTGAATAACATTGATAAAACACGGGCGATTAAAAGCATGTACAAACATCAGCGAAAAAAGTTAATAAAACACCACATAATATCATATGGCATTAGATCAGTGGTCGGCAGGCCCTCCGGGGTCGTGCCCCCTTTTCGGGCGCCAGGCAGGGCCATTACCCCCACCCTACCAGACACCATTGCATACACAACCGAGCTCACTAAAATGTCATGCCTTTCCGTGACTCTTTGGGTATTTCGGGTATTATTATGGAAAAACGTCGGATCACGACACAATTTTACCCTCGAGCCGATCATTTTTTTTTATCTGCCATAAAACATGTCATACATTGACAGAAATAACTGTTGACTTGTTAGGCAGTTGTTTCTTGAGATCATGGAAGGTCATAAAATTTCAATTCTAGAAGGTACAGCGGGTGCTGAATCTGATCTACTACACAATTGTCATTGACCCTTTGAAAGTCTTAAGTCACCCAATGGCCAAGGAAGTTAACCGTCACCCGTATTGGTGTTTTGCCAGCCGCTAATTTATGGGGGGGGAGAAATTCGTTGGACCCCTATTTGTCGTTCGGCCCCTGATCAAGCATGAGCTTCGCGGAAAAAACGAGCGTGTTGCCCGTGACGAGAGGAAGCTGATGATACGCGATTTTAAGGTCCTAGGTCATTGATTGACCTTCCAGGTCGGCTCAATGACCCAAAAAGTCGGAAAATCGAGACCTGTCAGAACTTCGTACAGTGAGGATGTTGTGGAGTTTGTCGGGGTACTGATCACGAATTTTATCTAAGTTTTGATCACAGATGTCTTCGTGCCAGGTCGGTCGGGTCAGGTCAAGTCAACCAATAGGCGTCCTGTCGGGTATTTAAAGTAGGCATCAACAACCACTGACAGCTTCGTAACATGTTACGAAGGCACCAAAATTACTTGGTATATGTTCAAATGGTTGCCCATCAAGTCCCATCAAGGGAGACATTAATTCTAAGATAAGGCTTTCTCAGAGGCCCCCATTACCCCCCACCGAGGGGCTCCATTACCCCCAAAGGGGGCATGCCCCACCATTTGCCGACCCCTGCATTAGATGGCATCTACCTACTCAGCATCATATTCCAAGCAGCCTTATATCAAGTGAAACAAATGTCATCTTATGCCTGCTTAATGCTTAAGCCATCTATCTGTAAATAAACGTCACATATCTCGTAGTGTCATGTAGTTTCAGGCTTTTCGATGCTAAGTGATGCTTTCCGCGATGCGAGTCGGATGGACTTCGCTCAGGCGGTGTCAGGTCGCTGCCGCCGGGGCCAAGCTGTGTCCGGGCAGGCGGTGAGTCAGTGAGCGAGATGGCCTGACGGTGTGAGGGTGCGCGCTGAGGAATACAGAATCTACAAGCTATTTCGGCCATCATGGCGAACTTCGACTTGAAACTTATCCCGGAGTATGATGGCACTAGTGACTTTTCGTGTTGGTATGAGAAGGTGGAACTAGTGTGTGGCCTGCAAAAACCGGCAGTGGACTTGGCCGTGGTGGTGCCGTTGAGACTGACAGGGGGTGCCTCGGCTGTTTATCGCCAACTGAGTGAAGCCGACAAGGCGGACGCAGGGAAAGTGAAGGCGGCTTTGCAGCGTGCGTTTGCAGTCGACAAGTTCAAAGCCTACGAAGAGTTCCGAGATCGCCAGCTGCGGGTCGACGAGTCCGTCGATGTGTTTCTGGCGGACCTACAAAGACTGTCGTCGATCTTCGGAGGCATTAACGAAGAGGGATTGAGCTGCGCATTTGTGGCAGGACTGCCCGAGTCCGTGCGGCACGCTCTCCAGACAGGCGCCCGCATGGAGTCCCTGTCTCTGTCGGAGATGGTGGACCGGGCCCGTGCTATCCTCTGTCGAGATAGCGTTCTCGGGGTAGCTGCAGCGGCAGACCACCGCGGTCCGCGCCGTCAGGAAGCCACCGTTTGCTATGCGTGCGGACAGCCCAACCACTTGGCCCGCGATTGTCTTCGTGGTCGAGGTGGCCGTGGACGTCGAGGTGGTTTGGGCGGAAGCAGGCTCTGCTTCCGGTGCAGCCGACCCGGCCACGTGGCAGCTACCTGCCCGGAAAACGGCGGCGGAGAGGTGGCCTCAGCGCCAGCCTCCTCTCCGGCTCACCAGTGAGTGGCGCCCTGCCGACCACGCGCCTGTCGGTGGACGGAGTGATGTGTCGAGCCCTCGTGGATACCGGATGCACCGTGAGCGTCGCGCACTCCTCCGTTTGCCGCCGCTGGTCTGCGGAGCGAATCAACGTTGTGACACTGAGTGGAGAACGATACGCATGCGAAGGCAGAGGTTACGTGTCAGTGCAGACCATGTTTGGTGCTCGAGTTGAGTTGGAAGTGCTGGTGTCTGCTAGAAAGCCTTTGAACTTTTCATTCATTCTGGGAATGAACGGTGTGACTGCTCTGCAGGGCGTGTTCGTTAGTGCATCCAGTGAAGTGAACTTTGGAGTGGACTCAGCTGTGCCGGCCGCTCCAGTTGCAGCGGCTGCCAGTGGCGTCTCGGATGGAGCAGCCTCATCGCTGCATCCGGGCTGCAATGAGACGGCGGCGCAACCTGAACCGACACCGACCGACCTGCACCCGGACCGGGCACCAGTTGTGGATGCACCAGATTATGCCGTGTACTTTGATCCGACATCTAAGGCGTGGAGAATGAAATGGAAGTGGACTGACGGAGCAGAGCCGGAGTGCTTGCAGAACACTGTCGCACAGTACAGGGTGCCGTGTGACGCTCGCCGTGAATTTGACGATGAACTCAAACGTTGGGTGGAGCAGGGCTGGCTTATTCCCTACAACGAGTCAGAGCTTGGCCCACCAAAGGGTCTGGTGCCTTTAATGGCAGTCCAACAAAAGAACAAATCGAAAGTGAGACCTGTGCTTGACTATCGTGAACTGAACAACTACTTGACAGCTCACACAGCTGACGCAGACGTCTGTGCGGACCAACTGAGGAAGTGGCGACGACATGGCGAAAACGTTGCGGTCGTAGATCTACGTCACGCGTATTTGCAGATTCAGGTTGACCGCCAGCTGTGGCCGTTTCAGACGGTGATGATCGAAAACCAGAGACATTGTTTGACACGGCTCGGTTATGGATTGTGCGTGGCTCCGCTCGTCATGAAGGCGGTGATTCGGACGGTTCTGGAACGTGACGCGGACGTAAACCGGGCAGTGCTTCCGTACGTGGACGATCTGCTGGTGAACGAGGACATTGTTAGCGCAGAGCGAGTGGTGGCTCATCTGGCGAACTTTGGTCTCGAGTGCAAGCCTCCAGAGCGGGCGGCAGGCGGTGCGCGTCTGCTCGGTCTGCGAGTCTCACGGGAGCTTGGCAGGCTGGTGTGGAGCAGAGACAACCCAGTCGGACCACCACCGGCTGTGCTCACGCGCCGTGGTGTGTTCTCGTGGTGCGGACGCCTGATCGCTCACATGCCCGTGTGTGGTTGGCTCCGCCCTGCCGTGGCCTGGCTGAAACGACGCGTGAATGACGTCACACAAGGATGGGATGACATCACCTACGACGGAGTTCTGCAGAAGCAGATTAGTCATGTCGCGGCTCGGGTAGCCAGTCACGATCCGGCACACGGTCTGTGGAGCGTGCGGAGCGACCGCGCTGTGGTTTGGGTGGATGCGAGCTCCGTAGCAGCGGGTGTGGTGGTGGAGTCACCTGACGGCGACATCATTGAAGACGGATGCTGGCTGAGGAAGGATGAATCCACACACATAAATGTTGCGGAGCTAAATGCGGCCGTGAGAGGCATCAACGTGGCCGTCGCTTGGGACATGCGTGTCATCGATCTGCGCACGGACTCGGTCACAGTGCACCGTTGGATCAACGATGCATTGAGCGGCCGCACTCGGCTGCGCACCAAGGCACACGGAGAGATGTTGATCAGACGCAGGGTCGACATGATTCGACAGCTGGTGGATGAGCTCGAGCTGTCGCTGTCTGTAACTCTAGTGCGGAGCGCAGCGAATCGAGCCGACGAGCTGACCCGAGTGCCGAAAGACTGGGTGCGTGATGAGTCATCGCCTGCAGCTACTGAGACAATGGCCGGCTGCGAGGCTGCGGCCAATGGGCTGGCATTGCCTAACACTGATGACGATTCATCGGGTTCGGCAGTACTGAGAGGAGGCGATCAAGTCGCAGCTGCAGGTGGTAGCAGCGCTGAGGTGGATCGGATGACGCCGCGGGGAGACTCGGCCGGCGCGGCAGAGGACCGGACGGAGGATCAGCTTGCACCAGGAGGCTCTGCTGATATTGCGGAGGCCATCGCAGGAGTGCATGACCGCGCCGGACATCCCGGGGTTCGTCGGACACTGTACTTTGCACGGCGTGACATTTCAAAGGACGTGACGCGAGCTCAAGTGCAAAATGTGGTGAGCCAGTGTGACGCATGCCGCTCAATCGATCCGGCGCCAATGAAGTGGAGGCATGGCTCGTTGGAAGTGTCTGACGTATGGAAGCGACTGGCAATTGATGTAACGCACTACCGGGGCCAGTCGTTTCTCTCGGTTGTGGACTGTGGACCCTCGCGGTTCTGTCTATGGCGACACCTGAGTCGTCCGGACGCTGATGTCACGATCGCTCAACTCGAACAGATCTTCTTCGAGCGCGGGGCACCTGAGGAGCTGCTTTGTGATAATGACACCATCTTTCGCAGTCGGAGTTTTGCGGCTTTTGCAGCGAGGTGGGGCGTGCGTCTTCGATTTAGGGCGGTTCATGAGCCGGCTGGCAATTCGATAGTTGAGCGGAACCATCGCACGATCAAGGTCATTGCTGCGCGAAAACAATGCTCGGTGGCCGAGGCAGTCCACCTGTACAATGTAACGCCGCGCGAGGGTGGATCTGCACCCGCGAGTGTCGTGTTCCGGTACAATGTGAGGGACAATGTGCGGCCCGCTGCTGCACCGCCGGCGCCCAACCCCGTACCAGTGAACAGTGAGGCAGCCGCGTATCGTGTTGGCGACCCTGTCTGGGTACGTCGTCGGGGAACTCGGTGTGTTGATACGTCGCGTCCCGGCACGGTGTCTGATGTCGTTTCTGAGCAGGTCGTAGAAGTCGATGGAGTGCCGTGGCACGTGAGAAATTTACGCCGACGGAATGCCGCCGTCGAGGAGGGGCCCGTTAGTGAGGGCGACAGTGAGGGAGAGAGGGACGGTGAGAGTCTGGTCATTACCGTGCCGGTGGTGAATGATGCGGGCTCAGAGGGGAACAGTGGGCCGGAAGTCGTGGAGGGAGAGTCAGCTGAGATTGTGGGCGAGGAGGACCGACAGATTCCACGTAGAAGCGAGCGGGAACGTAGACAGGCCCAGTATTTCCAATCGATGGGTTGATCCTTTGAGATCAAGGGTGGAGTGTAGTTTCAGGCTTTTCGATGCTAAGTGATGCTTTCCGCGATGCGAGTCGGATGGACTTCGCTCAGGCGGTGTCAGGTCGCTGCCGCCGGGGCCAAGCTGTGTCCGGGCAGGCGGTGAGTCAGTGAGCGAGATGGCCTGACGGTGTGAGGGTGCGCGCTGAGGAATACAGAATCTACATGTCAGCAAACCATAAACACTTAATTATTACCACCCAGTGCGGTTGCAGTTGCTGACAAGGGCGCTTCAAGACCAACCTAGCAACCCAACGAAGATATGTTTACAGAAGAGCAATGCTTGAATGTCGTGGAGTAGCGTTTGAATGACGTAGATAAATCTCTCCAGTGCAGCCAGGTCTTGCACCCACAGGCGGGGCGGATAAGCACGATACCCTACAGCCGCTTTCAGTGCCACCCGGTTCAGTGCCGCCTCGGTCGGTAGTTGCGCCGCTCTCTGTACGGCAGACCCCTGGCCTTCCGCGGGTCCACCATCTCCGGCAGAAGGCACTCCAGGAAAAACTCGCGCACCGGGCCGATCTTCTGCTGCCAGAAGTCCGGGTCGAACGTAATCCGGTCGCATTCCGACTCGTGTGGCGTCCAGACAAAGAAGTCACAGAAGCGGGCGCCGCAGCAGGCCATCTGCGCCTGCACCTGGCCGTAGTACGGGTGGCCGCGGCGCAGCTTCATCGTCCGGTCCAGACAGAAGCTGCCGCCGGCCGCGGCCAGCTCCCTCAGCGGGGTGTTGGCAGCGCGCTGCGGACACTTGACCTCCAGGATCAGCCCGGGGGCCACCCAGCCGTCCGGCGTGGCCGCCAGAAACCCGTGCTCCGGGTGCACCACCAGACCGACCGGGTGACGCACCAGCACGCCCGTGCGCCGCTCGTAATCGCGGATGGCTCGATCCTCGTTCTGGCGTCCGTACCGGAGCGCGGGCGTGTCCAGCTCTCGGCCGGCGCCGTACAGAAGAACCTCCAGGAGAGAGTCACACGGCGTCGTCGGCCGCATGTTACTGACGCGCTGGAACACGCTGGCAGTGATGCGACCGCGCCGCGCCGCGAACCACGCCTCTCGATCGCGCCTGGTGCGCCGCTCCAGCGCCTCCTGCTCGGTCTGAGTCAGTGTTAGCTCCCGTAGTTTCGCCTCTGCTCGACGCCGGTACTCCACCGGGTTTGTCAACTCCAGGTCGGGTGCAGCTCTGCCCCCTGGCCATCCTGGCGGGCCGTCTGACCCGACATCATACGGGACTTCTGCGCCGCCCGCGGCCCAATTTCCGAAACCACCGGCGGGACTGTGCACTGACTGGCCTGCAGTCTCCGTGACGGACATTGTGAGGTTGTTAAAACGGGCCAGCACGTCATCCAGGGCACCCTCGCTGAGATAGGCCATCCCCACCGACAAGGCACTGTGAGCCGCCATTGGCTGAGCGTCCTCCAGCTCACGTCTCTCAGCATTATCGGTTCCCACAGAGGCGCCCACCTCGCCTGATGCAATCGGCACAGCATCGCCAGCGCCCTCCTCACGATCTTGTCTACCGTGGCGCCTCTCCGCGGCAAGAGCTGGAACCTCTGTTGTCGACGAGTCCCCACAGGGGCGGCGAGTTTCGACCGGCGAGTCGCCAAAGGGTCGGCGAGTACCGACAGATGAATCTACACGGGGCCGGCGGGTTCTGATGGGGGAGTCTCCGGAGTGTCCAGGAGTCACAGCTGGAGAAACTCTGGAGTGCCGAGGAGTCACGGCTGGGGAGTCTCCAGAGTGCCGAGGAGTCACGGCTGGGGAGTTTCTGGAGTGCCGAGGAGTCACGGTTGGGGAGTTTCCGGAGTGCCGAGGAGTCACAGATGGGAAGGCTCCCGAGTGCCGAGGAGTCACGGCTGGAGAAACTCTGGAGTTCTCAGGAGTCGCGGCTGGGGAGTTTCTGGAGTGCCGAGGAGTCACGGCTGGAGAAACTCTGGAGTTCTCAGGAGTCACGCCTGGGGAGTCTCCGGAGTGTAGAGGAGTCACAGCTGGGAAGTTTCCGGAGCGCCGAGTCGCGGCTGGGGGGTCCGCTTGGGTGCTGGTTTGCTGAAAACAAGCCATGTCTATAGTCTGTGTCGGTACTGCAAGATCCTCAGGGAAAAAAAGATGCCTTTCAAGGCGAAAAATCCCGGGCTCGGAAAATGATGGTAATGCTACCAGTCAAGATCAGAATAAAATGAAAAGCGAGTGTGTGAAAGAAAGTAAGCCTCGGGAGTCTATTTAGTTTTTATCAGTTATGCTCGTTCTGCACTGAAACGACTTTGACGCCATGCTCACTTCAATGGTGCTCAGCCATCATCTAACTTGCGCATTCAAGCAGAATAGCATAATGCAGCCAAGGCACAAAGCGGTAAGCCGTCGAAGCACGTCTCCTCCCGACTCGTACCAATATGTCCGCTTCGTATGCTCAAATCCCGTTGCGTACCACCCGAGGTATGTCGATCGCCAGCACGTCGCGGAACTTAGAAATGGGGATGGTGCAGCACTATAGCGGTGTTGATCGGTGCATCAAAGTATTCGCCGCCGAGTAATCTTCCGTTGCAGCAGCTGATCACGAAGAAGACGAGGAAAAGCCGAAATCACGCCACACCCACAATCGCGCGGAAGAAAATGGCTCGACAAGCCGACACGATCAGTCCTCTTCTAACTTCAATTGGACAAGAGCGTTGCTTCTGTTGACTTCAACTAGCCAGTTCCACACGGTCATGCGTTATGTGTACCAGACACACACCAGCGTGTAACAGAAGTGGAACCGGCTTGCTCCAGGATCCAACAAAAAGAAATGGCATCAGGAATTAAGCAAACCCTCTTTATGCTGTGACTAGTTAGCAGAGGTGTGATCACAGACAAGTGTTTTTCCCCTAGTGGTGAGTGGTGGGTGGATGAGAGAAAGCCAGGCGCTAAAGCTGGAATAGCCATCTTTGAAGCAGGGATAGCAGCATCTTAAGTAAAATAAGTGAACCCTCAGGCATGAAAAGAACCTCTCAAAAATGAACTGCTGTTCTTAAATCTGTCACAGGCATGCCTCTCACCTTTTGCAGCTCATCAGCAGCCTCCTGACAGTCATTGAAACTGTATACTCTCCAGGCAATCACACACACAGAGTACACCTGTAACAAAGCATATCAAGCACAGTAAGGTACACAACTGCGACAAAACAAAGCTGACAAGGTACCTAACAGTACTGCACAATGGATGTTGTATGACAAAGACTGTGGTAAAGCAACACAAATATTAGCACAAATGCAAACTGATGAGATTACCATGTAACATGCTATCTCTCAAAATGCAGCCATGTCCTTCATTACTTGATCAATAATACTGACTATGGATCAGGATGGGGTCTGCCAGCCAGGCACTCCACCAAACTCACCCCAAAGGCAGCAATCAGTGCAAATGGGTAGAGCAGCAGAGTGTGCCTGTTCTGGTCTACCCAGGGTGACTGGTAGCGGTTGGTAAGCACCGCCATCCACGGCCCCAGGATGACAGCCGCCAGGAACAGCCAGCGCATTAGCATCGTCATGGTGGCGTCAGCTGTCGGAACAGGCACTGAAGGTCAGATGCGGCTGCCAGGGTGGCTGGTGGGTGCCGGAGTGGGTACAAAACGTGAAGTGCTATGCTGCTGGACTAAGCTCAGGTTTGACCATACTGAGCTAAACCACATCAACATGTTACATGACATGACCATACATGTTAAATGCATCAGCAGCCTGACCAAAATCTCAACATTGAATCATTGGTGGAATATGAAAGCAGGGTCCCTGGGGTGATTTGATCAAGGCTCTTGAAATTTGCTCGCACAAATCACCTGACTATTGACCAGTGGAAGGCAGCGAGAGGGAGATAATTTCTTTGCAGTCACATGACTAAATATGCCCTCAGTTTTTTAGTCACATTTTTAGTCAAGTGACTCATTTTTAGTCACATGACTAAAATGACTAAATGATATTTAGTCATGCAGTCTCATGACTAGATATCTGAGGGCCCTGAGGCCTGTTTTAGGTAGGTGGTACCTACCTATGTGCCAGCACAATTAAGTAAGTCCTAACCTAAATGGTGCAAATTCCTAACTGGTTTATAGGGCCTAGTCCTAAATCGTTCACAATTGCAAATTAAATGACATAAGCAAACATAAGTACTCACTCAAACTACAGATATACACAAAAAGGTTCTTGTGAATCATTTACATTATTTTGATTTATGTATACATACTCATTCAAAATCACTTAGCCGTCTCCCACGCAGTACGTCATAGGATCAAAAACTGATTTTTTGTTCGTTTGTTTTTTCTCTCCAATTTGGAATTATATTTGCAATTGAGTTCTTCTTCAAATTAGGTGCTTTGTATTTTGCTTTTGTATTTTGTATTTTGATTTGCAAATTAGGTGCTTTGTCGTGATGACCCGTGTTTCAAACCATAATGCAAGAGATCCTGGGGAGTCTTATGACGTCATTGCTACCCAAGCAAATTAATTTTGTACTAGTCATGTTTGTCACAGCTGCGCCACGGTAATCCATTCCGGCTACCACGTCAGCTGTTGCACTCAGTCTCTGACATAGGCTTTTAGTTATCTCTATTTATTTGAGCCTAAACATGAGGGTACAGCCTTCCCGTCATTAATTTGTTAAAAATTAACTTAACTGGCACCCTATGCTGGAGAATATGTTAACCTCAGAAGGGTGATCTACCGTGAATCATGCTTTGAGTTTCTTACTATCGCGAACAGTTTGTCAAACACTGTACAAACGGTACAAACGACGGGAGAGCATTGCCATCTACCGCTCACGCATCGAAGTTCAGAAGAATGCAACATGTCGAGTCGCATTCTCAGCATTCGGTAGTTAGCGATCTTTCTCTTCTCCTTCTTCCGTGTAGTGTGCCAAAGTGAATCAAGTGAACAGTGTGCACCCTCCTAGAATGAACAGCCAGGACTATGACTTCGTGCGGAACACTACCCTTCTCTTCTTCCTGGATCGTCTCATCGAGAAGGGGCAGCCAAGGACTCTTCATGACCTCAGCTGCCAGTTTGGAACCAAGGGATTCACGAAGGAGATGAGACAGATTGCTGGTGGATCTCAGTCAGGACTTCACAAGTTCCTCAGCCAGTATCCATCCATCTTCACCATCGAAGGTGACAGTGTCAATGTCACTGATTTTTCCGCAGGACCAGCAGCAAATGACAGTGCAGGGCGTGGGACTCGGGACTATGCACAGGAGGCATCAGACTACTTTAGCAATAAGTTGAGGCAGTATGGACCTGGCACAGAAGTTCCAATAAAATCATTGCTGGGCCACAGGTCTCAGGCTCCGCCAGAGGTTCGACATATCTCTGGACAGCATGTTAAGGAATTCCATGACTTCCTTGCGAGGTTTCCGGATGTGTTCATAGTCAAAGAGGATGTTGTGATGCTCACAGAAGATCAAGACAAGGAAAGACATCCCTATGTGGAAGTGGAGCAGCCCAAAGTTGATGAAGAGCTCACAAGGGACCTTTTAGAGTTCCTGCAGACATGCATATCTGTGAATGGTCCCACAATCATTGATCAACTGTTCAGCAATGTCACCTCATACTTTGGATATGAGAAGTGGTCCAAGCTGTTCAAAACACCCCAGGACTTGTCTACATTCATCAAAATGTACTCCAACAAGTTCTCTGTTCATTCAAACCTGGTGACATTGGTGCCTGTGAAAGACAAGCAGCCTGCCAAGGCCACTCCCATCCCTGAGCCTGTCCCTGCAGCGCCCAGCCCACCTGCATCCCTGCAGGTCTCCCCACCAACAAACTTCCAACAGCAGACTCTAAAACAGAGGGTGGGCAACATACTGATGAAGACAATAGCTCAGAACACTGAACAAAAACGGAACACGTACAACTCTCAGCTCTCCGGCAGCCCGTCGGATCAGAACCTCGCTCAGCAGAACTTGAAGAATGTGCGGATTGTGGTGAACACGAAGGAGTGCAGGAGTGTGGTGGCCAGTGTGCTGGAGGCGGGCACTCCGATCGGAGTGGATGCGGAGGGGGTGAACCTCGGGCCCACGGGGCCGATGACGATGCTGCAGGTGTGCACGTACTCGGGCCAGGTGTTCATATTTGACCTGCTGGCCAACCGCGACCTGATGGGAGAGGGAGAGCTCGGCAAGCTGCTCCAGTCCGAGAATATTGTCAAGGTACGTTTCGCCATTAATGATCACTGTGGTTCATTAGGAACAATAATGATCTATTACTTCAAAGCTCAGTGAGTCAGTTCCTACAATACTTTTGACCTGCATTCTCCCCGTCTGATGCGTTCCACGTCTTGTTCAATTAACAATGGTGTGTGCTGTGACCTGACTCCACCTGACCTGACCCCGGTGCCCGCAGGTGCTGCATGATTGCCGCATGGACAGTGCCGCGCTCTTCCATCAGTTCGGCGTCACGCTGAGGAACGTCTTTGACACGCAGGTGGGTCAAAATGCGACGTTCGCACAGTGTTTTGCGTCGCTCTCTGACTTAGAGGACGACTTAGAAGGGATCCTTTTGAGTTTTACGGTGTTGTGTTTTCTCCGCCTCTCTCCCGGTCACGGCTTCTTCTGTGTCTCGTCAGTGGCCTCTGGGAGGTGCGGGCTGATGCTCAGGACGAAGTTGACAGTTGACACCAGCAGAATTAGTTTTGTCACATGTTTGGCTCTCAATTTGCCGATAAATTGGCAATGTGAACGGTTTTCACCTTGCCAATTTTTATCGTCGGAATGCGGCGCGCTAATGCTGCGTCGTCTGACGCGAAGACAAATGTCATTTTTCCGTCGCCAACCGCTCACTAAATTCAACCATGTCTACCATGTCGCACAGATCGCACACGCTCTGTTGCGAGCGAGGCTATTTACATGCATATGATCAGGCGGTTGCCAAGCCGTTTCAATGTGAGATAGCTAAGCACTGGCAGCTGTTTCGTAGGGTAGCATACGTACAAAATAACTGTGTCAATGGAGGGCAAATGGTGTGTTAGCCTAGCATTCAGACTGTCGCTAACAACAACGCTAGCGAATATTCCAATGGATATTTTTGCGGTACGTTGTTGAGCGTCACTCAGTGGAGCCTTCAGAGACATCCAAGCCCCATGTATCTAGTTGCTGTATGTCCTGACCCGTTCCCGCTTTGTACGACTGTGTCCGGTGCGCAAAGTGGACCTCTGTGAACAGACTTGTTTGGTGTCCGTGTCCCGGCGAAAACGGACTTTCTCTCACGACTGATTCTATCGGGCGCCGGCGCCGGCCGGGCTCGTCTCAGACGGATGTGACGGATTCAGACAGAACTACACCTCCCCGCCTGAAAACCAGACACTCTTCGGATTTAATGAGCTGCTCATTTTCCTCGCTCTATCCTCATTCCGCGGTGTTCAGCACACGATTGGAAGACTGAGATGTTTCGCTGCGACTTGTGTACGCTACGGTTTATCGGCGCATTGCTCATTGTCTGTAAGCGATCGGGGACACTTTCGCAGCTCGGCGGTCCTCTCCGCGTTCCATCTCAGTCACGTCTTGGCCCTGTCTCGGCGGCTCGCCTCGCGTCTCCGTCGGTCCGTCGGTCAGTGCGCGTCCCGTCGCCAGGGTCGCATTTCCCACGGACCCGTGGCAGCTGTCGTGTGGGCGGACCGGCGGACTTTCGCTGTTCGAAACCGGTGGAACTTGCCGGGAGCCCGGTCGGCGGAACCATCGTGATGGGCGTGGCTGCGCGACCCAACCTCTCGTGCCAATTTTGTTGGGACGGTTTTATTCGTGTCTGGTTTGGCGACGAGTTCCACTGGGTCATTTTGGAGTTAAACTGTTGTGGATGGGTCGTTTTTGGTTGCTGGGGATCGCATGACTTGCGGACTCGCGAATCTGACGTCAGACCGCCGCGGGCGCCTGATGTCTCCTCGGGATTCCGGTGGAGTTTCTCCTCGTTCTGCCGGGGGCGGCTGCTGTTTCTGAGCTCTACCGCAGCTATTCCTGCCGGTGTCGACAGCCTGTGCTTGCTCTCCGGTCGGTGGTGTGTGTACTCCGCCCGCCCCTGCCACCACCACCTCCCCCTCCCCGTGCCTCCCCTCGGCGGGTTATTCCCGTCCTCCCTGCTCCGCCCCTCCCCACCGTCTCTCGGCTACACTCATCAGTGTGGAATGTTGACCGGAATAGAGCGGCAGTATGTCGCGACGGTCGGGACCGGCGCCAGCTCGGACCTGACTTGTCACCGACTCTTGTCAGACTCACACGTCCGGAGGTCCGGCATTGTAAGGCATTTCCCAGACATTGTTCTGTGGCGACCCTGACTGGGTTCATGTCTATCTCACCCGCTACCCTCTCCCTCTCCTAGACCTGGCTCGCAGAAACCTCACCGGTCCTGTTTCCTAATCCCTTTCATTGGCCAACCATCCCGTCCCTTTATCCGCCTTCCACCGTGTGCTGGTCCCATCCAGGTAACCTTGATCGCCGTGAGCCCACTGCTGCTCTCTGCAGCGGGTCTCAATGAGAGACCAACCCAACCAACCTGTCTGCCTGCCCTCGTCCAGCGGTGTATGTTCAGCACTCGGCCAGACTGCTGACGTCACCACTGTCCACAGAACTCAGTCGCGTGGACACTGGTGTGTCATGATGAAGAGGGAGGGGTGGGGGTGGGGGTGGGGGGTTGCAGTGCAGCCTGCGGTCGGCCGGTCCCTGGTGGGTGTGTCTGCAGACGGAGCCTCCCTTATGGATGGGTTAATGGGCTAAGATAGTAAACAAAGTAGTAAACGTGTCCAGTGAGCTTTAATGATCTCATTGAGGTCTAGCGTCCGTCAATGGATGGACTCGTGTAGTCCTGTGTGCGCTGTGCAAGCCTGGAAAACATCGTACTCGAAGGAAGCAGTCAGATATTCGACAGCATCGGTGGACCTTTGGGGCTCTGACCCAGAGTATATTGATCACCGCTCTGACCTACTCGTGTTCACTAGTGCATTCCGGCGTAACGACGTTTTATCCAAATGGGCGTCATCCATCACAATAGCTGATAACTTCAGGCTGTTAGCGATAATGTGTACTGTCGTGACGTAGTTCCGTGTCACTGTCCCTCTTATTTGTCTTATCCCTCCACTATTTACAAGCCGTATTTGCTTGGTCCCATTCGCGTTAGTGGCGTCCTTGGCTGTGGCGATTGATGTCCGTTTTTAGGGCGGCCACTCTCGTCTCCGACGTGCCTCGGCAGTCACCAGTATCGCGGAGTGACGTCAGCGCCTTTTGGGGTCATATTCCCGCTGTCAGCACCGGTATGGGGCGGCGGTAGCAGGCAATGGTGCGTAACGGCCGCGGGTCGGGTCATCGCCGGGCGGTGGGCGGTGATGACGGATCGGTCGGCAGATGCCGGCCTGGGGCGGTGTGCTGCCGGCGGGGTTCCAACCAGCCGTCTGTTCGTCAGTATGTCTTCCTCTCCGCCAGTCTGTCAGCCTTTTCGTCCTTCTGTCTACTCTGTTCGTCGGTCGGACTATCGGCGTTTCTCGGTCAGTCTGCCCGTCGGCCTGTCTGCCCATCTGTCCGTTTGGATCGGGGATGATTTTGGGTGAAGCGAATCTCCTGTGTGCCTGCGCCCCAGGGGGTGACACTTCCCGGCCGCTCGCCGCGTTGGCTGATTTCCTTCCATGTCAGGTGTGAGGAGTGTCACGTGTCAGGTGTGTCGGGTGTCACGTGTCAGGTGTGTCAGCTGCTGCCGAGGTCAGGTGCTCCTGGATGTCCGGGTGACCTCGGCCGAGCTGGACCGAGCCTGGCATGACACCTGAGATGATATATGAGGACGACGGGCTTCATGTATGGCTTTTCTCGGGAATGCTACCGTCGGCTGATGCATAGTTTCTACCCGATGCTGGGTGTCCAGTGTTGGTGCGTGATGGGAATGCGCATGCCGATCACAAGGTAGGGGCTTTTTTGTTGGTCGTCCTTCGGTGGGACGTGACTTGACTGTGATGTCTCGAACCAGGAAGGGTGTGGTGGGTGTGGGGATAGAACATTCTAATAGGTCTGGTGTTCGGTCAGTATCGGCCAGGTCCTTTTGATCCTCGTTGGTACTTCAGTCGAATGCATAATTGCTTCCTTTAAATATGTCGTTGTAGACACCTCTTCGTTGCCTGATGATATTTAGTAATTGACCTCAGTATCTGTGCCGCTTATATCGGCACAATGAACGGCGCCTCTTTTTCTGCATAGATGACCGATGATGTCCTGACGCACTAAATCATCGATCACCATCACATACTTCCTTAGCCCTGTTAACCACTTGACGCGACATGAAGCCATTAATAATCCGTTCTCCATTAAAGCAGACAGCTGGAAGATAGAACAGTCAAGCCAACTGTTCTATCTTCCAGCAGCGTGTGCTCGTTCCTCTCGCAGTGTTCTCTTTCTTTCTCCTTCTCCTCGTTCTCGTTGTGTACTCGCTCCTCCGCACTTTATTTTTCTTCTCCCGGTGCGTACTCCTTCCTCTCCCTGTCCTGCTCATTCCTCTCAGTCACTGCTCCCTCTCCCCGTATTGCTGCGTTTCGCCGGCCGTATTTATAGCCAGGTGCGCGGCTCGCGTGTCCGGCAGACCCGAGCCGCTCCGATCGCCGCCGGCCGGCCAGCCACCCCGACCGCCGCGCTGCCGCCGGGCTGTGGTTACGGCACTGATCGGTGGCGGTGTGCACCGCTCCGCCATCGACCACGCGCTGTCTGTTGTCTGTGTGTGGCGTCCCCCTGCTGCTGTCTCACCCCGCCGGTACACAGGGGAGACGTGACAGCGGCCACACCCGACACCCGCCCGAACCGACCCCGGTCACCGACTCCGACAGCGGCCCGTCGCACGAGGTCACGTAAGGGTCACCGAGGTCACGCTGGGTCACGCCGGCCGCCCGGGCGTGTGAAGTGACATACATGCCGCCGGGTCGTTTCTCGGTCAGAAAACCCAGCTTCTGGGGGCTGGGAATGGATTGAGTGGGAAATAGCGAGGTGATAACGGTTAGCTGCGGAGCTGCGATCTTTGACCCGGCTGGGGTTAGGAGCTGGTGAGAAGGTAACATTTCCATTACATGCATGCATTAATGATCATATCCGCCGTTTGAATGTTAACTTGCGAAGGAAGTGTATTGAGGATGGCTGATTACACAACACTTCAGGCAAACGCTATTCTTTATAGATTCTAACTGGCAAGTTGTCTTCCGTCGTCCGTCATCGACCTCGGTTCACCCGTAGGCATTCCTTCGATCACGTTCACTGTGCCACTGCCGCACTGGCCCTTGGATTGGCCATCTCTTGGCCGTTTCTCCTGCGAACCGTCGAACCGTCAGCCTTGTGGCCGTCGTCACGATCAGCGCAGACTCCGCCCCGCCTCTCCTCTCCGCGCGCCGCGACGGTCGAGCGCGCCAGGCGCCGATCGCACGGACGACCGGTTCGGCCAGGCGTGGACGGTTCAGAGTGGATGCTGAG